CTCGTCAGCTGCGACTGCTCGTCAGGCGAAGTCGCTGCGACTCGAGCGTCGCCTCTCTGAGGTAAGAGTCAGGACGACGACTTGGCGCGGGCTTGCAGCGTCTTGACGCGCGCCATGCTGTCGGCGGCCTTGGAGGCGGGGTTGATCGGGGTCGCTGCCGGCGTGTCTGAGTCGGCCGCGGCCTCTGCTGTGGGTGGTGGTGGTGGTGGTGCCGCTGCCGAGGGACCTGCTTGTGTGGTTTCTTCGGCCGGCGCCGCGTCTTCTTGTGAGGGCTCGTCTTGGGTGGCGTCTGTGGTGTTGGTCGCGGGCTGTTCGGCTGGGACGTCGGCGTCGAGAGCCTTTTCTGCCTTGGCGGCGGCGGCCGTCTTTCTCTTCTTTGCGGGCGGCATGGTGGGGTTTGCAGGTGGTTATTGTGGTTTACGTGCTTGAAAAGCGTTCTCGGTTGATCGGGGTTGGTCTGGGAGGTGCAGCGCAGTCGAGATGGGGGGTGAGGTTGGCGTGGGTGGTAAAGTTGATGCTCTGGGAGGATGATGCAACGGGCAGAGGCTTTGCGTGAAGTTTGGCTCCACCATGAGGGCCCTCGCTTAAGCGCATGTATCGGGGCGACCAGCCACATCCGAGTTTCGGGCTTCAAGTTGAATAACAATCGTGCAAAGTTTAGCCACAGCGCTGTCGGTTGTGATTTCCTCGAGTTTATCATTATATATGAGTGCCCAAGTCGTGGAGGCCGTTGCTAGGAAAATTCAGACGACATCCAAAATATGCACATGGCCAATGAAGGAAGTTCCAGTACATACATAGCTCACCTTACAGGGCAAACAGCAGCGGGCCCTCCAGCGGGTCTCCCCGCGTTTTCGTCTTTCCTAGTGCTCCGGTTAGTGGATCCAGTGGCTCTCGCCGCCAAGGTGGCTCGTGCCGCCACCTCTCATCTCATCTCATGCGCCTGCCTCGTGTCGTCTGGCGCCTCAACCTCTGGCCCAGTATCTTCTTCCACCTCGTCTTGCCCTAGCTCAGTTCATGCTTCAAAACCCTCGGTTCAATATCGCCCCGGGATCCCTGATGCTGGATCACGAATAAGGACACCTTGACATCCTGGGCTCACGCCCGCCCGCCCCCGCTACAATGAACCGCCTCTTCAGCCGCGTGCTCCCCGCGCCAGCCGCCATCCCTCACATCTCAACGGCTCCCATTCACACATCTGCACCCTGCCACGCCCAACGGATCTATCCAACAAACTACACGCCAAAAGGCATCGGTCTATCTCCCATCAAACCCCGCAAGCCGGCGCCGCCACCCCCGGGCTGGACCCCCTTCGCCATCTCCAACCTGCTCCTCGATCTCGACGCCTACGAGAGCCGCTACGTCCGCCCCTACGATGACGCGGCCGACGACGCCCGTCAAAGGGCCGCCTGGGCCGCGAACCCGACCCGCGACGCCCTCAAGCAGGCAGCCCGCGACTTCTCCCCCGAGTTCCGCCGCGCCAACTTTCTCTTCGCCGAGGCCCACGGCGCGAGGTCCTCGCGCAAGTGGCGCGTCGGCGAGCTCGACCTCTTCGCCGGCGCTCTGCTGGGCGTCCGGCCGGCGAAAGAGGGCGCCCAAGCGTCGCCAGGAGCCGCGGCAAAGAGCCCGTCGGCCGTCGAGGAGCTCGCCATTGTCGTCAGGCAAAACGCCATTCCCTCGAGCGCCGCGCAGGGCGAGCGCCTGCTTGAGTGGCTGCTCCACCGCCAGGCGCAACTCGACGAGACGCTGCCGCCTGACGCAGTCGCTCTCGAGAGCCGCATCGAACCGCGCGAGACGACAAAGCTTGATGCTGAGACGGGCGGTAGCAGCGCCAACGCCGGCCAGCAGCGGCCTGAGTGGTCGGGCTTCTTGTCATGGAAGAGGCTCGTCACAGCAATTTTACAGACGGAGACGGGAGTCGCCATCCTCGCCAAGAGAAAGGAAGAGCTGGCAAGGACGATGGAAGGGTTGCTGACGCCCGAGAATGCACTGGACCAGCTCGTCTTCCTCAACAACCTGCATGCGAGGTTTCATGCCGACGGCGTCGAGCTGGGCCTTCACCTCTGCGGCGCAGGACTTGTGCTGGCCGCCGAGGCTCGACAGGGACGCGCGCTGACGCGCTATCTCAGCCTTGGTGCTGGCAGTGGCTACTGGCGAGCATCGACATCGAGGGAGGGGGCATTGGCCGCGATTCCGGATCTGATGCTGCAGAATCTGAGGGCTGTGCTCGTCAAGGCCGATGATGGCAGCATTTCATTCGACGGCAGCGCATCGAAGCTTCTGGTGGCACTCGATAGCGATGCCGCCGTTGCTGGTTCTTCCATAGAGCAGCTCGCGCCCGCAGGCCGCCAGCCGCAGGCAGCGAGTTCATGAATCAATGAATCGAGCAGATGGGCTCCGCGTGAAACGAGCAGAAGAGAGCAATATACCCCCTCATCGCATTGGTTGCCCTACGGATGGACCCTCCAGCAACTGCTTTCTGTATTTCTGCCTAGCCGAGCCGAGCGGCGTGGCTGTACATGTGTGATGATGCATGGTGAAGGGACCCCAGCCGACTGGAAGAACTGGAAGTCTCCAAATGAACCACGATGTAGCTCGGCTCTCTCCCTTTTCTTTTCTTTTCTTTTCTTTTCTTTTCTTCTTCGTCTTTCTCTGCCCTCCCCACACTACCACATCATTGCCGACAGTCCCAGCGATATCTCACAGACCAGGTATCTCACAGACCAGATCTCTCACAGAAACAACCCAGCCAGGCCCCATCGATCTCCACCGTGGACCTTGCAGAAAAGCCTGGCAGCGGCGTCACACGGACAGTATCACAAGCATGTTTTCTCATCAGCCCTGCCAGGTCATCACGGCGATCCAGCGAACGACGTCTGACGGACAACAAGTGAGCTTCGACCCCTCCCCACCCTCTTCTCACACGAACAGCTGCAACCTGTCGGAGAAAAGCCACACCAGCGGCAAGCTGAAGTGCCGTGCCGAGCCTCGCGATTGGTCCCAGCCAGCAGTCCGGCAGCCATAGGGCTCATTTGCTTCGCCAGACATGATGATTCCTGTGATCTGGTCTGGTCGGGTCCTGGTGAATCGGCATCCCCTCGAAGCCCGCCCTCAATTCTTCGTATCCCGCCCCAGGACCTTGGGCTCCGTTCGTCTGGTCGCTGTCGCTTGCCGAGCATGGACTCCTCGCCCCTTTCAATCACACTCCCAACCCTGGCTTGTACGACGTGGGCGCTCTGCCCCCCCCCCCCCCCCTTCGGCTGCCTGCTGCGTACATTGAGCAAAGACTTCCGGTCACTGCACGATAAGAGCTGCGCTCAGAGCACTGAGAATACCATGATTAATCCTGTCCATATCCACTCGCCTCGCACCATTCTTCGTTAGCGGGACGTTCCGCCGTTCATCGTCGTGCCATGAAGTGACGGCCTGTCGGGCCAGACAGGTCTTTTCGTCCTCGTTTCCTCCTCCCCAATAGCTCGCTGCCGTCCTCTCGGGGGCCCTGTGTCCCAAAGCCGCCATACATGGCCGCCGGCAGTTCGTCCGTTTCAGCGTGGCGTAGGGTGCCCTAGACAGGGCCATCGATACCCTCCACATTGCTCCTACCCCCCGGTCTCGTCGTCGAGCACAGCAGAACGATAGACAGCGAAGCCGCTTTCTTGGCGTCGTGGCGCTCAACCCGGCGAGAGAGGAGGGAGGGGGCCAGAAGCACCTCTACTGACCTTCCCAGCCCAGCTCGCCACCCGGTCCTATCGCGTACGGTCTTCGTCTGGTCTGGTTCCGCGGGTCCCCCGAGTGCAGCACGTTAGGCCTGCCTGTCCTCCCGTCTCGTGGTCGGCCGCCCTACGACGATCGATCTTCACTGCCCACCCCTTACCATTCCCTCCCCTTCCACGACCAGTCCTGTTCCCGTCGAGTCGTCCACTGGCGGTAAGCCATCTTCCATCCTCATATGCAGCCACGAGTCCTGTCGTCTGCTCGATTCACACCCAAGCCCGGGAGTCTGAAGTTTCGTCTTTCCTCCTCCCTCCCTCCCTCTTCACATTCGTCTCCGTGGGCACATCCACCAACCACCTCCAACGCGAACCAGACGGAGAACCAAAACTACATCGTCTGTCGTTCCTGTGTCTAGAGAGCAAGTGCGAGTCCCAAAAGAAAACAAAAGAGTAGGAAACCACAGCAAGAATGTCCGCCTGACGGAACCTATTCCGGCACGACAATGAGCACGCCCACTCTTCGTCTGAGCCTGCCCACAGCAGGGCACGCTCCGTCTCCGTCATCTCGCACAAACCCGTCCGGGAGGCACGCTCTCGCCTCCTCATCCTCACAGCGCTGCGCCGCATCTGCAATCCGGACGTCGTCGCTGGTCCTCTCGTTTCTGCTGCTCCTCTTTGTCCAGCCGTCTGCGCAGCAGAGAGATCCCGTGAGCGACTTTTGCCGACGCTTCGGGCACCAGACGGCCGTCGTTGACGATAAGCTCTTCATCGACGGAGGCATCCTGAATTGGAGCCCTGTGGCTGGCAATTACACGAGTACGTTTGCCTGGGTCCCCCATCGTCCTCAGACGCCGGCTGTGGTGCGCTTCGCTGTCAAAGCCGTTCCACGGCGTCAAGTTTCATCTGTACATGACTGACACCACGTCCGACAGACACATGGCTGCTCTACCAGGACCTCACCGAGGTCGCCGAGTCGGGCATGCCACAGCTGCACGCAAACCTCAGCAAGAACGCGACGATCCCGAGCGTCCACGGCGGCGCGCTGTGGGGCGACGACGTGAACAAGAGAATCTACCTCTTCGGCGGTGAGTACCTCCAGGACGCCCCGTCAGCGCACTTTGAGCTCTTCGCCTACGACATCCTCCACGATCAATGGGACGCCCTCGGCCCGCCGCTCAGCCGCGACATCCGGAGCGCGAGCTACGGCGCCGGCGTCGCCGTGTCGAGCCGCGGCGAGGGCTACCATTTCGGCGGCTGGCTCAGCAACGCCTCGGTTCCCGATTGGGGCGCCGGCCCGCCCGTCGCCATAACGGGGCTCGTCCGGTACTCGATGGACTCGAACGAATGGGCCAACGTCACGGGTCCGGACGCGATCCGGCGCGCCGAGGGCGCCATGGTGTACATCCCCGCCGGCGACGCCGGCATGCTGGTATACCTCGGCGGCGTGCAGGATCTGTACCAGAACGGGACGACCACGGCGCAGCCCATGGACGAGGTGTTTCTGTACGACGTGCTGAGCAGCAAGTGGTATACCCAGGAGACGACGGGCACGACGCCGGAGAGGAGGAGGCGCTTCTGCGCTGGCGTGACCTGGGCGGAAGATCAGTCCTCGTATAACATGTGAGTGCCAACCTAGCCCTTGACTCTGCTGTCTGTTCGATGAAAACACTCGAATCTCCGGATCTTCGAGACTGACAGGGTCACCCAAGATATCTCTATGGCGGAGCTCCGCCGCCCGAGGATGAGCCCGGCGCCGGCTTCGACGACCTCTACATCTTGTCCATGCCGTCGTTCACCTGGATCAAAATGTATCCCAATTCCACCGATACCGGCGACTTTCCGCACCACTCCCTGTCGTGCAACATGGCGCCCGGCGGCGCCCAGATGCTCATCATCGGCGGCAGCTTTCCCACGACGCAGGACTGCGACACGCCGGGCCAGTGGGGCACGCACAATGCCGACCTCGGCCGCCAGAACAACAACAGCAGCCCCTGGGAGCTCTTTGCCCCGAACAAGACGTCGTACGCCGTGCCCACCGACATAATCTCCGTCATCGGCGGCGCAGCCACTGGTGGTGCCACCAAGACGGCGCCGGCGTCCGGATTCGGGCACCGCGACCTGGCCGTGCTCATGACGCGCAAGGCGGACGTGGCGGCGCGGACGCCCACGCGGGACGTTGAGCGCGGCGCCGACGGCGATGGAGGAGCGGGTTCGGCACCGGTCCTGCCGACGGGTACTATTGTCGGCATTGCGCTCGGCGGCCTCGCTCTCCTCGCGGCGCTGTTCGCAGGCGGCTGCTGCATCGCTCGGCGCCGCAGGGCGAAGCGGAAAGCGCAGTTCCAGCAGGCGGTGGCGCCCTACCACGCCCCGACGTCCGAGATGGCGTGGTCTCCTACCCAGACGACGACCTTTTCGTCGAGCCCTTCGCCCCACGTGCAGGTCCTGTCTCGACCGCAGACCGTTCCGCCATATGTCGGGCCGCCCGTCGAGCTGCCGTCTGATACTGGGCAGAGGCAGTACCAGCCTGGGTACTTTGCCGAGCAGGCGTCTCCGCAGCACCATCACGTGCAGACGTCGATGCCAGCGCACGAAGTCAACGGGTTGCCCAAAGCCGACGTCGCGTGGGTGCCTCACGTCAGCATGGTGCAGGTCTCACCAGGCCATCAGCGGAGCGCGACGACTACGGGCGTCAGCCCGATGCACTCGCCCGGCCTACAGCCCGGGCAGCAGCAGCACTTACAGCAACAATATCAGCAGCAGCAGCAGCAGCGCCAACAGTACAGTCCCGCCACACCAGGCAGTGAACAGTCGCTGAGTAACGGCTTGCCACGGGACTCCAACTCGGCGTGGTCCGAAGGCGACGGCGGCATGAGCCCTCGACACGAGACCTACTATCATCGGTGACGTGTTCCACCAGGGGCCGGCTTTCGCGCCAAGTATCTCACATCGACCGACGTCGTCTCATCATGTCGCCTGGATGGCATCAGAGCTCGCTATTCCCGCGTCTTCAGTCACGTTTTCCAGCGGGTGTATCTGTATCGGTAGACGAAGCGGCCCGATGTGGTCATTTTAGTCTTGACTGCGTTTTCTGTGGGAATCCATTTCGGGACACCTCCACCACGGACCCTGTCGAACTTTACCCGTAGGCGTGTCATATTGGTGCTAGCGATGCGGTGTGTCGCCATGATCGTGAGGTGTGCGAGGCGGATGGATGGCGTCAACGATCGGTTCGTAACTTATAGTCTCGGTTCGCCATCAATCGAAAATTTTCACCCCGCCCACCCCAGACGTGCAGTGTGAGCCCCAATGGACGGCTTCTAGGGTCGATGACGGAAGCCCCGGGTACGGTCGCGTGACGCTGCTCCCGCATCGCAGAATTTCCCCTGAAAAGCACGCAATGAGCTACCACTCGGTTCCGTCCACAGCCGCCGACGCCTTACTAGGTTCCTGCAGATGCGAAGTCTGGGGTAGCTGGAGCCTCTTGATCGACCTGAAGTTTGTGGTTCAAGGACCACTTCGGTGTGTCTGGTGATGAATGTCTTCTAGTCTGGGCCCTAGAACTCTTGTTGTGCAGGCATGGAGACCCGACAATAACTCTCGTTCACCGTGAGCGAACCCGTACGCCAGCTCTTGGTAATATAGTTGCAGAGGCACTGCACGCTCCAGAGCCGTGGGGGTCAGCTTCCCTGACTGACCCCTTGGATGAATAGCTTTGCACATGAATGCCCTACGAATAGCTGGAACCCTTTGGATAACTGAGTAACATGAAGCCACATCAGGTAGGTATCTGCAGCTCCGGGGTGGAGAAGACGAATATACCGCCTGAAAATCAAATTACATTGCATTCTGGATCGTGCTTTGACGTCTTCCTTCTTGATACAATTGATTGTGGCAGCAACCTGGCATACTGGATGTCAAGTTGGATAGGTACTCAACAGAAACATGGCCTGCACAGTAGAGACTGTGAATGGGATACGTATCTAATTTGGATAGCGCATTATCAAGCAGTCGGCCGCGTGGCCCAATGGCAAGGCGTCTGACTACGAATTGATGTTTTCGAGCATTTGATGTTATCAGGAGATTGCAGGTTCGAGCCCTGCCGTGGTCAATTTCTTTTTACTACATTTCACGATCAACTCGACTGTTCCTTTTGGGCACTGTGACCTACCCACCAGAACTGGGGCACCATAAATCAAACGAGTATACGGCACGAGTATACGGCACGAGTATACGGCATATGATGCGTGAGGGCCTTGGCAGGCATTGACGACTGTTTCACCGCAGCTGTCAAGTGTTCTAGACCAGTTCTATCCTCAGCGGTAGTGATTTCGGTGGGTGTAGGGGATCCAGGAGGCTTCACCCACACCGGTGCTGATCTCAAGGGATCGACGTGAAAATGTACCGCAATCGCGATAAACACCCGGGTGCCATGGCGGCAGGCAGCGGGCGAGGGTCCTCGTACGCCGAAGGGTGGGTGCCCCGCTCCCAGGGAGGAGCTCTTGTGACCATTTCGACGATAAGGAATGAGTAGGTAGATTGGAAAGTCGCCCGCACCGAGGCCGCAAAGCTCGGCACCCAATGACGCACTCTGAAGTTGATGTTTCTTCGGTGGCTTGCTGCTTGAAGATCCACGGCAACGACGATGACAGTATCGCGTGAAAGTTCAGATGCCAAGGATTGTAGCTAGACTGGGGTAAAGAAGCGACGTGATCAAGAAGATAGCATGAAGCTGTTCCATATGCCAACTACTGCCGCGTGCCTGGCCATACATCCGTTTACTGTGCAGCTTATCGCACAACAGCGCTTATTGCTATGGCGGCGACAGCGGCTCTTAAACATTCTCCAGCGTCGTATTGGCCTGCCGTTCATGAGCATAGCTTCATGGTTCGTCAGTGGCAGAATGTTCTTATCTTGCAGGGCCCGCATGGAACTGCTGCTGTTAACATCCGTTGCAACCAACGTGCCCCTGAGGACCAACACAAGGTACCTAACCCGAAGCTATCCGGTCGCTTCTCACATTGGGCGTCACTATCAGTCTGTGCCCAAGAGTACCAGGCTCAGAATATCGTGGGCGACCTCGACCTCAATGGTCATCGGAGCAATGTGCACACAGTCCAGCGTGGGCTGTCCGTGCTCACCCTTCAGCGCTACATGTGAGCCTCTCAGGGTGTTGAGTTTAGGTCACCTGGATGGTGCAACATGGTGCAACCTGCGACTGGAATGTCATCCAAGCCCCTACTGTACCATGTACAGCTTAGCCCAGACAGCCATATATTCTCGGATACGACCCTAATGGTGTGGTCGTTTGTTTCAAGCGTGGGGTGAGGTGTGTGCTGGTCCTCCAATCTGGTCGGGGAGGAACTTAACGTCGACAGCTAGGAAAGCTTCACAGGCAGCTGCCAGCGACCTAAAACAGCAAGCCGAAGCATAGAGAGTGGGGGATTGGCACGCTCGGCGATGTGGTCTGCCACCGCAGCGGCATCAGAGGGACGCAATGCTCGCACCCTGATTCGGATCTCCCGCATAGCCATTGCATGAATGCAACCCTCTGTCCCAGCCTGAAAGTGTGATGCAGGCGCTGTAAGCTGAGTGGGGAACGCATCGAACCAGCATGGAACAGCCAGCGTCTGGTTGCCCCCGCCCCTCATCCTCATTTGTACTTGAACCAACGGGTGATGGATGCCCACGGAAAGTGGTTGCTGCGCTTGATTATGCCAACTGTAGGCGAGCCCCCACGAAATCCTGTCATGGCCGCAATTTCGGCCAAGCCCAAACCGATGACGTGCCTCTGCCGGTGAAATCCGTCAACATGGTAATTTTGGTGAAGGTGGACGTAGATTAATTGGCATTGCACAAGTCGACACGATTTACGTCCAGTGGATTCGCGATAGTGGCAGCTGTTAGAGTGCGGAGCGATGTGTGATGCGAGTCCGCATACCCAACCAAAGGTACATATTTGTCGGCGGCAAGTCCGTTGTAGCCCTTTTATCGCCCAACAGCCAGGCAGACGCACCTGACGAAGCGATGGCGCCCGTCGGTGCCGCTGACTATGTGACGCTTTTGACAGAACGTCATGGACCGGCATACGTGTTGCCAGGAAACATCGGATGAGTGATGTCGGTAGATACGCCATACCGCGCCATCGAGGTGTCACTCGTATGGGCGGAATGGTCTACTTGGACCGATGATACCTACCGAAGTCCCGAAACACACAGTCGGACATGTTTCCTTTTCCTTGCCGTGCTGTGAGCCTGCTATCGCAATAGGTCACCAGGGTCGAGCCGGTCAGGGTTCGGCGGCGGCGTCGATCGCATGTCGGTCCGTAGACGAGACACCGAGTCACCGTAGTTGGCCGATACGCGTGCGGATCTCCAGTTCGGCGGCACAAGCTTCGTGGCTCAGTCCGTCTCGGCACTTTGATTGTGCCGACGCGCAGTGGGGCCAACGCACCCATGGTGGTGGATGAGGTGAGCGGCGGGCGTGGGTTCAGGGTCAATCACACCATAAAACTGGAGCTCGGGTTCGCGGCCGAGAATTGTTGCAGCAAATGCTGGTCCACGGAGCAAAGCAGAGGGCCTTGAGAGCCCAGAATGTCGAACGTTCGATATTGACACCAGCTAGGACGCGGTACCTTGATGGGGCGGCCAGGAGAAAAACAAAGGAAGGATTACGAAACACGATGGAGCCCATACGGGTTACGTAGTGCATTACGATGGTCTGAACGTTGACGACGATCTGGAGCTTGTCCATCGTGATGACGGGGACCAGACGGCGTGAAATGGATGCCAGGTGATGGGTGCCAGGTCAAGCGGGGCAAGTGGGTGTTTGGTGGCTCAGGTCCAGACAACGCGGCGTGCATCATGTGCCTGTGCTGGCCATGAATGTTGAATGGTACCGGTACCTGGATGTAGCGTAGCCTGCGTTTCCCGGCATGCGTTATGTCGACTTGGTATGCCTCTTGGTAACCTGACTGTTGTGTCAGGAGAGGCTCGCGTGTGAGGGTCATGGAGCGAGATCATGATGGCTTGTCCATGAGGAATGAGAAGAGAAAGATATTTGCTGCCTAGAACTGAATGGATGCCTACCTTATCTTGCTTAGGACATGGGAAAGTGCAACTGTTGGGGTCGTGACTTCCCAGCGTACCATGAACCCCCTCTCAACGTGTCGCCCGCTTGCCTTAGGTAGGTAGGTACCTACCTGACCAGGTGGTAGATAGATAGATGCCTCATGATGGCGGGCAGGCACGATGCAGCAGGAACAGGCAGGCAGGGCAGGGCCATGAACCCCTGCTGACCCTGACGCCTTCCCTCCAGCACACCCTCCCCTCCCTCCTCCCTCGTCCCCTGCTTTTCCCTGCTATCACATCGCCATGCCTTTATTCGTCTTTTTACCCGTCCGAGGCTTCCCATACCAAGTATGCATCCCACCTTTGCCCACCTTGCCTCCTCCTCAGCTCGCTCGACATTGCCCATCATCCCACGCAAGACGCAGCCTCTCAAGCACCCCGCCTTCTGTCAGGAACAGGGGTCGGTCAGCCAGCCAGCCTAGAACGCCGAGGCGATTGCGATGAGGTGCTTGGCTGTGATTCCGTCTTCTGCCCCTCTCCAGAACCTACAAGTATATCTGGCAGGCCTTCCCCTGGGAGCTCTCTGTCGTCAAACTACGAGCATGAACTCGCGTGCTGTCCACCAGGCCAGAACACATTCTTGGTGCTGTATGCGAGCCCCATCTGATCTGATTCTGCTCAGTCAATCTCGATCGAGGGACGAAATACAACACTATCACACGTCACGCACGAAATAGGCGGCTCCATCCTGCTTTGATTAGTCTGCCCTCAAAAGCCTCGCTTGGGGTTGGTAGCGTTCATCAACAAAGTCGGTGAGGAAAGGAAGACTCGAGACTGCAGAGCCAAGTACACACACACACACACACACAATACGCAACAAAGCGTGCGTGCCAGCACCAAACCAAACAAAAGAACCTGCCGAAAGGAAGGGTCCCCGTCTAAAGAGAGAGAGAGAAAAACTCTCTCCTCAATACTGCGCCTCGTCCGATCCCTTGCATCCCGCTCGACCCGAGCTACGAACGATCATCGAAACAGTAATTGCACGACAGAACCTTCTTCGTTCGACCCCTTGTCTTGGCCCGGCTCCCCGTCTGTTCATTCAGAGTTCATCGAAACTGTACTGTAGGCATCCAGCCACAAGCCAGTACCTTTCTGTCCACCAGTGCACCAGGTACCACGCAGTCCTCAAGGTGCCCACTCGTCCCCTTCCCATTGGCCCTTGTCACCTACCGCGGCCAGCGCCTCCCTCTCCGCTTTCGGCGTATCAATAGCGGCCTTGTTGCGTCAACCTTGAAATTTATCACGAAATCGCGCCCGACTGGGTAATTGTGGACCACCTGAAAGAGTCACAGGCTCCTTCCCAAGACACAATAACCCAAGTTACCAAAGACAAGGCTCGCCCGTATCGTATCTACGAAGAGAGATAAAAAAAATCAGAGAGCGTCTGAGGCCAGCCCTATCGCGTACATATTCATAGTCATCCCCGGCTTCCTCCAGTCGTCGCACCCTTGCTCCCGTCCCTTGACATACGCTTCTCTGCCCTTACCTCGACTGCCTCCACCCTTCACCAGCGGAGCATTGCCCCTGTCGTCATCGTGCTTCACTCGTGGTCAGTTGGGCTCTCTCGTCGATCCCGCTAACTGAGCACCTCGCCCTCGACCTCGATTCCGCCAACAACCGTCACGTTTTCCTCTCAGGCACGAGAGTATACCCGTGCCTTCATCCGACTGGCCCCAATACCACCCGCCGAAACCTACCTGGAGCCACACGCAAGCACGACAGTAGCGACCTGGGAATCCACCCAACTAAAAGTACACCGCATCGCTCTCCGTTCACCCATCACTAACACAGCCGCATCGAGCGCCAATCGATCGGCTGCGTGTTCTGTCCATTTTCTCGAATCAACCTAGCTCCTGGCGGTGGGAAAACCACAGGTACAACGCAGCGAAGCACACTTGCGCATCTGAGCATCCAGTTTCTTGCATCGGCCTGCACAACCTGGTCTTCCCCGACTTATCAGCTCGGCCAAATATAATCCACATTTCCCTCCTCGCCTACAAGCCCACCCAACACGCCACGAGCTTCAAAGCTCTAGACTCCTTGGTCATTTATCGTTGTCGCCTGCCCGCAGCACGTTTCGGACAGGGACGGCATTTTCTGATCGACTGTCGATAGCCAGAAAAATTTCTCCACGCATTATAGCCGTCACTATCCACTCCTTAGGGACACACCGTTGCAGCTGCGCGAAACTCCGTATCCGCCCTGCAGCCTCCCTCTCAGGCACGGTCGCCTAACGAAGCCCACCATCCAGCCAGGAAGATACGCACAGCTTGTCCGTCTCTGCACGGCCGCCGCTTCATTCCAAAGAGTTTTTTCCCCCCTGTCACGAATCCACAAGTCCTGGTCTGATACATAATCAACTACGAGCTCTTCAAAAGATTTATTACCCTCTTCCCCAGGTTGCGACTGACTACCGTGGCTGCCCATCACCTGCTCTGACGGAAATCCATTGCCACCCCGCTGACACCTGCGAACCCACTGGAACATAACGCATCCTAACCCCCATCTGCACTCAACCTACATAAGTCTTGAGAGGCTCCTTCGTCACCTAGGCCGGCCATTCTGCCTGACTCATCTGGAGCCCACGGCCACCAATCCAGAATGCATCACGGTCGTAGGAAGTCGGGCCATGGTGTGAGCAACACGTCCATGACCGACGTCCGCCGGTCTGTCACCGCAACCGACCCTTCGCGCTTCAAGCGTCCTACAACGCTCTCGCGCAGGACAACACCAAACTCGTCAGCACAAAAGTTGGGCCGAAGCCCCAGGGAAAGGGAACGAGAATGGCAAGATTCCTACGATGAGCGCGAGAGCTTTCCCCAATTCTGGTACGTTCACTTGTACCACCTGTTGACTTGCTCTTCTGCATGCACCCTCCCAAACCAGACGGATTTGTGCTGACGGTCTGCCTCGCAGCATGGCTTGCGAAAAGCAATTCCTTCCTCATGACGACAAGTTCCTGTACTGCTCTGAAGCGTGAGTCGAAACCCCGCCCGTACCTCTTGGACTCACAATGCTGACCTGCCATCGCAGATGCCGCTTGTATGACCAAGATGCGTATGCGCAGGACGATGCCTACAAGCGAGGTATGTCGAGTGGCTATGGGAGCCATCATGCGATGTACTCGATGGACTATTCCGAGCCGAGAGACATCATTCCCCGTGCATCTCCATCCCGCCCTAGCTCGACCAACTTTTCTCCGCCAACATCGCCTGGGACGATGAGCAGCCATTACCAGCAGCACCATTCGTCGGCGATTTCTGCGCTGCGATCACTCAACGTCCATCCGCCGAGCCCACCGTCGCCTGACGACTCACACCCGAGCCTCTGGCCCTTCAGCAAGACGGCAGCGACAAGTCCCAGCACCTCATACAAACGTAGTGGGTCTGGTTTCTTCTCCTCAACGTACGACACAGGCTACGGAACTGCCGGTCACGGTTACAACTACAGCACCAGCGGCATGGACAGGCCACTGCCAACACGAAGGCCCACCGGCTACTCGAGACCCAAGAGCATTGAACTCGTTACCCCCATGGTGGGGCGTTGATGGGGCACTCGGACAAACAGACGGACGCCGATCATACGCCCGAACCTAGGTGTCCCACTCGCACCCAACCCCCCTCCTGTTTGCCGTCCTCGGTCACTCGGTCCCTGGCGGACGAGGGAAATGAGAGTCGGAGGATTTGCGGGGGACGTTTTGGTTTTGCAGTCACCTGGTCGAGCGAGACGGGCCATGCCAGGGTTTCCTGTTACGGCCCCCGCGGCCCAGGTGTCTCGCCCATGCACTCAGGGGGGTTACCCCAGCCTTCGGCGCGGGGTTAGCGCCCATGCCCCCAGGTTTTCCCAACATCTGGAGCCATGGGCCACCACGACGCCGCAGCTGATCGTCGGCGTGGGAGGGGTCCGGGGGGTTCACGAAGACTCGCTGGTCCTCCCCGCTTGGCTATTCCAAGATGTGCCCTCTGTTTATCAGCAGCTGCAGGGTGGCGTCTGCGCGGATGGCACCCGTTGTTGCCTCATTTCATTGAACCCCCCTCCCAGATCGCAAGCGATGCACCACGGCGGCTCGTCAGGTTGCTTTGCATATATTGCGGCGCACCGAGTGTCATGTGAGCGAGAAGGAATTGCTCCTTTGGACACTCTGGGGAAGCAATGATGCGATGTTGCGTGCAGAGGGGCCGAGGGAATGGCGTTTTGGTCATACCGGCGGCCTGGGACATGTTCACGAGGGAGTTTGCGGGCAGCTTGTCCGCTTTCGGACGGACACATTGGACGGAGTTCTTGATCATCTGGCCGGGCCCGATGAGGGTTCGTTTACGGCACGGCATTGTTAGCAGCGTACCATTTAGACGGGAGCATTGGTCTGATTGAGAAGCGAGGGTCGCAAGAAGCGAGGGTCGCAAGAAGCGAGGGCTGCATCTTACGTGGACATTTTGGGCAGTGGTTCTGTGTAGCATCATGAGCCTGGTGCTGGGACATGTCAAGCGCGACTTGCTTGACCCATCACGATAGTAATATGACCAAGACGGCAAATGTCTCGTCTCACCTTCATCCATCCATTCATTCAACACACGCAGTCTCCCGCATGTCTGCCACGGTGCATTCCTGTGTCCAGTCGTGACCATGATGTGTCGCGCACACCGCTCTTGCATCGAGGCGTGGGGACCGGGCACGGGATCTGTCTGTCTGGCATTTGCGCGACGCAAGGCCGAACGGTACCGCGCCGTGGCACACCGGAAATGCAACAATGGTCATCTTCGTCTCCGACATGCGGGCACACGACGTCGCTCTCGCGGCATGGAAAGGTGGAGGTCAATTTCGTCCCGACGTGTGTCTCACGCGAGTCAATCAAGGCACAGAGTCGACCATGTCATTCTACTGCTTGACCGATGGTGGAGTCCCTCGCTCTCGATCTCTCATTCTCTGACCCGGCCCCTGAATTTGTTTTACTTTATCGTGTTTCCACCGTTTTGTTTCCACCGTTTTGTTTCCACCGTTTTGTTTCCCGTTGTTTCCAAAGTTTGTTTCCACAGTTTGTTTCCACAGTCTGTTTCCACAGTTTAGTTTCCAGGGTCTGTAAATTTTTTTTTTTTTTTTTAAAAAAAAAAAAAAAAAAAAAAAAAAAAAAAAAACTTCTTTTCCTTTTTTCTATTTCTTTTTTTCTTCCGCTTCACCCCTCTGTTAGTGCCAGGGGCGGGTTCTGGTCTTTGCTTCTGCCTTGCTGAGGTCCTTAGCGCGGTCGGAATGGGCATGACGCGTGGTGAGGGTCTCGGGAGGTAATGCGCGCCCCCCCCCTAGGCTGCCCCTCCCCTTCCCCTCCCTTTGCTGGCTGACTGGTGCGGGGTCCGTTACCTGGGGCGGGGGCCGCGGGGAATCAGGTCCAGCCAGGGACATGACACCACCTGAGCGACGACGACGCCCTGGAACGAACGGGCGTGAAAATAATTTTCATTTCTTGGTAGGCTTGGGATGGTTGACAGCGGGATGGCTTTCGCTAGGGAGAATGGCACGGCGGGGTGCCAGGCCAATTGGTATGTGCACCATATAGGCTCTTCGACGGATTAACCTTACTTTTGCGTCCCTGGCCAACCTTGAGAGGGAATGGATGGTCTCCCGATACAGTACCTGTCGTGGTGGGGTGACGTTACTGTAGCGAAGGCGCAACGTACGAATAACGTTATCCTCCGCGGCGAGCCGCCGTGGACATACGCAACTCGCTTCGTCACAACTCTACTCGACGGCACGTAGGTTCTCAACAGTAGTAGTACTATAGCACGACTGACTATAGTGTGCATATTTTTGAGTATCGCCTACTTCGAAACGTAGATGGCGAGAAATAACTTCCCAGTGGTAGTACGACCGCCTTTTAAAGTATATGTCGTACGCTGTAAGCTCGGGGAATGCAATCTCGACTTGTAGATCCAGCGTTCAGGTCTCTCTGGCTCCTCTTGCGATGTGAGGTTTCTTTTATTGAAAAGGCTAACAACCTACCTTAGCCCTAGCTGCGGGCCCACTGTCCCGAGTGCCTTCCAAAGGCTCATAATGCTCGGTGCCAACGCAGCACCACGACGCCGGAAAAATCAAGACAGACGAGGGTCCGGAAAACGTGGCCTTGATGCTCAACATTCAGCTGAACGGCATGCTCAGGTAGCCTGTCAACGGATCCGGGCGTATTGAACTCGGCCATGACGGTGACGATACTTGAGGAGAATCGTGTCACCTTCCGCGCCAGGTCTGTCGCGTAGCCGACATGGCCGGGCAGTTCTATAGCTGCGAGTCATTGATGCCTCGAGCGCGGTAGCCTCCTTGTAGCCGGCACTACACGATACGGGCGTCGGCGTTGCAAACATCGTCTGGTCATCGCCAAGAGTCACCGGGAGGAACTGTTGTCACTGTCACCGCAGCACCCTATACAATGAAGATAATTTGAGAGGCCGCGTCAAAAGCCTGGTGCACTTGGTGGTCATTTTGATGGCCCGATCTGTGGCGACGGTCAAGCACATGATGTCGTCGTTGTCGACTAACTCCACTGGCCACTGGCCAGGTGTTGAATAGGTTGACGCATCGTGGCACTATCACAGAAAAAGGCGGCCAGCGTCCCGTAGTTGACCTGCACAAGGCACCCGGCCGAGATCCGCTACTCCTCGAAGCAAAGATACCTGGCCATAGCTACGTTTGACGTCAGTGTGTCATTTCCAGCGTGCTCTTTAGCGGTGGAGGATATATTTGTTCACAGTGTACTCTTTCGTGGATCCGGATGTCCCCTACTCTTGCGACGTTTTGAAAAGCCTGAGATCGCGCACATCGGGAACGACGACCTTGCCCGGCGTGAGGTATAGAGCCTGACTGTACAGCGTCGATACCATGGCAAAGACCCAGGGCTGCAAGAACGACTTGGACCCCCTGAGATGGACGGGCAACACCCAAGCCCAGAGGGAAAAGCGAGTGCGGTTCTTCGTCTTGAAGTCCTTGGCATTGACTCCAGCGATGCTGTCCATCTGTAGCATCGACTCAGTCTGGAAGCTCATGGCTCAGTCACAGTTCGTCACCGTCAGTTGATCGAGTGCTGTCCCCTTGCAATCGGATGATGCTCGCGGCCGAGGAACCGCAACGTCCCGATCGTGCTGTCCAGGCCTTGCGCGTCACAGAGTCTCGCGAGTGAGGGAGGGTATTTATTGACCTCTTGGGAGTCTCTTGATAGATAGAATAGACGATGCCCTCCTATGACTATGATCCGAACCCTGCTTATAAGTAGTCACTCGTAAGCTGGGCCATTTCTTCGTAACTTCTTCGTCAGACAACAGGTGCCCCGTCACCACCCCTTGGTCTTGCGACAGCCCTGGCAACTGCCTCGGTGAGAGGTGTACCTGGTGTAATCCTCGTCGAAGACCAGGCTTTGAAGTAACTTTCAAGGCTCTGGGACCTGGTGGCGGGATCATTCTGGCGACGGGGCCAAAGCCTGGGGCCTCTCACTTGAAGCAACGTGAACAACATTAGGCCGATTGAGGGTGGGTGCTAACAGTGTCCTGAAACATGATTGATCTCGCCGACGCTGGACACTCTTCAAATGGTACGCTGCTATGACCCTTTGCACTTTAAGCAAGTATGCGGACTATGCAACCAGCTCGGGCTTCGAAGCTCTTTGAAAACCTCGAGAAATCAGTAAGGAAGTTCAAAGAACTCGGCGAGGCGCGCCTGTGGGATATTTGAGCTGTCACAACTGGCAGGTTCAAAGGAAATCTCATGGTCCATGGTATAGGACCCGCCTTTGCGGGCTTTAGCTTTGAGCCACGGCCGTTGCATTCTGACCATCATTCCGGGCTATGCGATGAGGATATAAAAGCGGATCCTATTGATATATCAAATGCATATGCGGAAGGCTTTGCAAACAAGACGCACGATTTTGTCTGGCAAGTCGATACAGGAGTGCATTTGGCACCAAGAATGGCCATCTACGGGTTGTTAGTCCTTGTTTGACCATGTTCGACAATATTTGCTTCGACGTCTCGCGTAGAAGAGAGGGACAAGCTTTTTCGTCGGCCCAAAACTCCACACGACTGCTCAGCCTTGGTCATACTCGCCACGTATACTTTGCCGGTATCTTCCTCTTGGCTTGGCGAAGCTAGGTTGGGAAATTCCGTAACCCGTCAACTTACACCTCTGGCACCATCTTACACACCTTACCGGCGTAGGGCAGAGCTGGCAGCGCTCTAGCTGTAGACACGTGACTTGTCTAAGCTCTGGTCCCTTTCCCTTGTTCAGAACCGTAGGCCCTGAAATATCTGTTATAGATGAAGACGCCGATCCTTGATCGCATGCCCTCTTATTCTGATTCTATTCACGGCCCGTATCGGTTCGTTCGGCGCACCGCATGTCAGAGCGGTTGGGCAGCCGAGTGAAGGTCTTTCACAGGCGATATCCGCAGCCAATTGTCAAGTCAAGTAAGGGGTCGGACTACATCTGAAGTACGCCCTCCACAGCTAGAGGGCCACATGTAGCCCCTCGATATACACTTCCATGGTCTCAAGCCCCCCAAACCAGCCCTGAACCGTCCATTCCTTGGCTCCGCAGGTGCCTCCCGACTGTCTACTACCGACCAACACTACCAAACCAATTCAAATGACCAAGTGACAGGGCCGAGTACGTGATGTCCCTAGAGAGGCGGACCAGAGGGCACGACAGCACGCGACTCCTCGATCAACTGCTTACACCGCTGCACATCCACCGTCTTCCCCATGAGCCAGGCGATCCCTTGGAGCATGTCCAGCTTGGCCCTGTCAGAGGCCTTAAGCTGCGGGAAGACGCCGTCGAACGCGTGCGGCAGACCAGGATAGACATCGAGCCTCGTCTCGACGCCGTGCGCGCGCAGGGCCTTTTCGTAGATGAGGCCGTCGTCGCGGACGGGGTCCTGGCCCGCGACCTGCAGGTGCACGCGCGGCATGCCCTCGTGGGGCCGCGCGGCGTTGAAGGGCGAGTAGAGCGGCGACGTGACGTCGGGGGCGTAGGCGGCGCGGACGTAGTCGTCGGCGGCGCGGTCGATGACGAGCGCGTCGGCGTTCTGCGCGCGCGAGAAGAAGAGCGCCCCGTACGCGGCCGGCACGATCCGCTCGTCGAGGAGCACGGGCACGTGCAGCCACAGGCCGCGCAGCGCCGGCGTCCGCTTGTCCGAGACCCAGCGCTGCGCCGTGACGGCGGCCAGGTTCCCGCCGGCCGAGATGCCGCCGATGTAGAAGCCGAGCGCCGGGTCGGCGCCGAGCTGCTGCGCGTTGTCGGGCTCGCTCAGCCACGCGACGGCGTCCCAGACGTCGTTGGGCGCCGCGGGGAACGGGTGCTCCGGCGCCAGCCGGTACGACACGTTGACGACGGTCATGTCGTTGGCGGCGGCGATGAGGCGCGAGCGGAACCCGGGCGCGTGGTTGTTGCCGACGCAGAAGCCGCCGCCGTGGACGAGCACGAACAGCGGCCGCACGGCCGTCGTCGAGTTGTCGGGTTGGTAGATGCGCATCTCGCTCAGCCGGCCGTCGCGCATGGGTACGTCCCTCGTGTACTCCATGTCCGTGGAGGGGGGCGCCGGCGGCGGGTTCGCCTTGAACGCGGCCGCCCTGGCGGAGAAGGAAGGCGTCGGGGCCGCCGTGCGGCCTGCGAGAAGCTTTTGGCTTTGTTTCAGCTACAGTTAAGCGCATGGGTCAGTGGTGGGGGAATCTCACCTCGGCAAGCTCGGGGCTTTCGTGGTGAGTTTCCTGGTCAGCGCATGCTTTTTTTTGGGCGATAGTTCGTTGTTGGAAACTCTAATGACAAGATTGGGAACATACTCCGGTTTCACCAACTCTGCCACGGCTTCCTTTGTATCGTAGGCCGACATTTTATTTTATTTTTCCTTAGTCTATCTGGTAAAGTAATTTTCAAATGTAGGAATGGGTGGTGAGTGTTTGGGCCTGGCAGTTGGCTTTATGTTTGATTCTTCGGGTTGTGTCTAGGATGAGGGAGGGGTACTCGGAGGGGGATCGGAGAGCCGAATAGTTAATACGAACAACGATCGATGGTACCTAGACTACCTGGTACCTAGACTACCTCAGGTACCCAACTCAAAGCGAACGCGTCATTGGCAGGCATGGTTCCGGCATCTTCACATTGCTTCCCTGACGATACCTCACGATGTTAAGGACCGTTGCGTTTTGGCTTTTCGCCCGTGGCGAAGGAGCGAATGTGCTCGAAACTCTCCAATTATACCTCCAAAGTCACGAAACCTCTGGACGTATTATGTTTCACGGTCCGCGATCTGCGTCCTCGGTCGTTGTGAGAGGGCAGAAGCACGAAACTAACGGGGGTGGATCATCTGGATGATGCTGGGAACCACTCCCCCACCATCTCCGCGACCCTCGGCTCCTCAAATAGACCGACCGTTTGTTACCCCTCAACATCCCCCGGATCCAGAGTGGATTTGAGAAGGGGGGCCGCGGCCATCGGCCATTGCTACGACACCGAAGCCGGATGCGTCTTACGCGAACCACCGAAAACTCAGAAGAGGAAGAAGCGAGACCTATAAAGCGGCAAACTTTTGCAAACACCCTCGTTGAAGCCGTAAATGCAACCAGTCTATTGAAATTCTAATGTTCCGCCCGCACATGTGAGAGTTATGTTCCGTCTGCACATGTGGGAGAAAGGGGGGGTATGGATAAATGCAAAAACCGCCATGCCAATGCCAATGCCATGCCATCCATGCTCGCTAGCTCGCTCGCTCGCTCGCTCAAACCAATCCAATATGCAAATGCTGCCGGCGGTCCCGTCACGACCCTACCGTTTTCCGTCGTGGTGAGCTCCGCCGCTGCGCGGCTTCGGCCTCGTCACCATCCGCCACCACCTCGTGAGAGATGACAATGCTGTCCTCCCTCTCTACGACGGACGCGCCCTCGCCGCCCATAATCTGCTCCTCGCCAATCCAGCCGGCCTCGACGCCGAACCGCACGACCTCGGCCGCCGACCCGAACACGGGCGTCGCCGCCTTGGCGTCCGGGTCGAGGTGACGCCACATCGGGGCCGTGTCGCGCTTCCAGCGCGCAGCATCCTTCTTGTCGCCGCGAAAGTGGCCGAGCATGTACTGGTACGTGTACGCGAGCCAGAGGACGTTGGTGTAGGGCGCCGAGACGTCCCACGAGATGCCGGCCTGGTACGGGATCGAGTGGGCCGTCGGCGGGAGGCACCTGCGCGAGGCGTCGCCGTGCACGAGGTGGGAGCGCATCTGGCGGTACACCTTGCACTGGGGCGCGTGGGTGCTCGTAAAGATGGAGAGGTCCTTTTCGAGGTCGAGGGCCACGACGACGGGTTCCGTGATCGTGTCGTCCATGTCGAGGCTCAGCGTCGCGGGACAGTCTTCAGCGCGGGACAGGCCGTAATCGAGAATGGTGATGTCGAGGCCAGAGTGGCCAAAGTTGGGCCCCGATGACGAAGGGTCTCTCGGCCGTGGCTGGGACGTCTGCCGGATGCAGAGGTTGCCCTCGTGGAGGTCGCGGTGCTGGCTGGTGTAAGCGGATCATACGATGTGTAAGGATATGCAACAATATGCAGCAGAAGGGGGAAATCAAACCCACCTCGAAAGCAATGAGATCCTCCGCCCTCGCCAGTGCCACGGCTACGAGGAAGAAGATGTCCCACAGCTGGTCGACATGATGCAGCTCAAAGTCCTCGAGCGCGACGCCGGCATCGCCGAGCTCGACGACCAGAAACCGCGTCGTTTCGAGGTACCGACTCGGGCTCGGATAGAACTGTGCGCGGTCGGGGTCCTGCCTCTTCATCTTGCGCTGGAACGCCTGGTGCGTCTCGAGCAGCGACTTGGACGTCTTGCCCTCGACAATGTAGCGCTCCTTGTACACGACGAAGCCGGGTATGTCGGCCAGCCACTCGGAGATGCGCAGCTCCCCGAGGAGATCGTCTTCGGAATGCGGCTCCTCGTCGACCAAGCCGGAGCGCGCCTGGGCTTTGGTCTGGGCCTTGATGGGTGACTCGAGGCGAATGCACTTGATGATGCTGGTGCCGCGGTCGTTGCGGATCCGATACACCTCGGCGTACGAGGCTTCGGCAATCTTGGTGATTGTGTCGCCAGGCGGGCACACATCATGCCACGTCAGGACGCGGAGGTTCTCCTCGACAGTGGCGGGCTCGGATGAGGTGTGTGGCTCCGTGATGGTCACAACGGGTGTCTTTGGTGGTGAACGGACAGTATCGACTTTGGCCTCGACGTCATCTTGAATGACCACCACAGGGGATGGTGGAGCTCGGCATGACTTCCTTGGAGATGTCCGTCGTGGTGTGACTGGCTCGTTGATGCTCTCTGGCGTATCATCTCGAATGGTGACGGATGCAATCTTCTCCGTGACTTGAATCAAGTCGATGTCATCCTCGCTGTCCTTCACTTGGGTCTCTCGTGGTTTGCGCATGGGCGTCTGGGGCAGCTCAGCCAGCACCCGTTGAGGCTTCGTCCTCGCCGCCTTTTTCCCATATGTGCGTAGGGACGTCGTCCGTGGCATGGTGATGTGGCTTGATGCTGTGAGATGTCGTTAGTATTGCTCTGGGAAGATCCCCCGTGGCCTTCTTTTTTGTGAGAAACTGCTTCCACGGCGTCGAGCCTTCCTTCTGTTACTGAGGTGTGTGACGGGGTTCGCTGTTGACTTGCCATTGGACGGTCGACCGGACGACCGGCGGGCGCAATGATCCGTCTCCGCACGACCCACGTCAATGGCTGGAACCGGGGTTGCCTTAGTCAGCGACTCACCCCAAGCTCTTCAGTGGCTTCTCAGTGGCTGGAAGGGGGGCTCGCCAATGAGATTTGGGCCCGCACTGGGATCGCACCGGGCGAGGGCCAATCTTCCCCATTCCCCAAGGTTCCAGCTTGGTGGTGTGTGGTGTCTTGTCTTCAGCTCCTCCCCCCCCCCCGAACTTTGTCTCTAATTGCACTGCAACGCAGCTCGTCTCGACATCCCCCACCCGCCCCAGGCACAGGCACAGGCACAGACAAATGCACAAGACACCATGGCCAATGTTCTGAACAGCTTCTTCGGCGGCGGAAAGGCCGCCGACAAGGCAGTGCCCGCTGCCGATTCTGGTATGTCTTGCTCCATCCTCGCCACTTTCTCCCGCCCTCCTATCTCTTCTGTGCGCCGAGCAGAAGACACCGAGCACACGACACCATGTGCGCATTGTGGCGTCCGTGACAAGATCGAGGACAGCGCCCGGAGCTCCAGAGCTGGAGCTCCAGAGCTGGAGCTCCAGAGCCAATGGCACTGCTCGTTGTCGCCCATCTTCCATCGCAGCCCCGGACTGACAGGTTCCAGACTTTGCAGACTTCGCCGAGGCGCCCAACCCCGTTCCCACCGATACCGTGGTGCCCGTGGGCGCCACCGCCGTCGACGGCACGGCCGCCGCCGAGGCGACGAGCGTCCAGTTCACGCGGTGGTACCGCGTCGACCAGCGGCACTCGCTGGACGAGTTCCGGCTCGAGGGCATCGTCATCAGCATCGGCCTCGTCATCTTCATCGTGCACCTCATCGGCTCGCGGCTCAACCGCAGCAAGTCCAAGGCCTGGGCCAGGGCGCACGCGCCGGCGCTCAAGAGCGAGTTTGCCTCTGTCGGCTTCTCGGGCCGGTCGACGGTCGAGTCGGACCCGCAGGCCATCGAGGGCGTGCTCAAGGAGAAGTCGCTCTTCGAGTACGCCGCCTACGGCACGGGCCGGCAAAACGTCGCCTTTGTCGACGTGACGCTGACGCTGATCAAGCGCTTCAACCCCATGATCTCGCTCGGCGAGACGCTGTTCAACTTTTTCTGGGACTCGGTCGACGCGCCGCGCGACATCATGGACGCCGTCATCTACCCCTTTGACGGCAAGGAGACGCTCACGGTGCCGCAGGTGCCGGGCACGCACGAGCTGCGCAGCAAGGACAGCAAGAGCAGCTACGACGGCTTCGTCTGGGCCATTGTCGCCAAGGGCCGCATGAAGCAGCTGCGCGACGAGCGCTACGACCTCTCCATCACCTTTACCAAGGACCACAGCAAGCTGCCCAACTGGGCCACCGTCATGACGGAGAGCGCCGAGATTACCGAGCAGCTCCTGACGCCCGAGATCATCCAAGCCGTCGAGCTTGCCGGAGATGCTTTTGACTATCTCATTGTGTCGGACCAGCCGATTGACAAGCCGAGGACGTGAGTGCTCTCCCAATTTTCATTTTTTTCTGTCTTCACCGGTCAGGCCAAAAGAGACAAGCTAACACAGCGCGCGCAGTCTCGAGGAGGCGACGACGGCCCGCAAGCGCGTCTTCCTGCGGTACACGATCCCCAGCAACAATGACTTCTCGACGGTGACGCCGCTCTTTACGCAGTTCCTCCAGCTGCCCGACAGCCTCGTGGCCAAGGCCAAGTTCCGGCCGGAGATTCTGCGCAAGGTCAACCGCGTGCGCGAGGAGGCGGTGGCGCAGCTCAAGAAGGAGGCCGATGCCGTCGTGGCCGAGGAGCGCAACGCCGAGCGCGAGCGCGTCAAGAAGGTCAAGCGCGACCAGGAGCTCGCGGGGCTCGACGCCAAGCAGCAGAAGCGGTACCTCGAGAAGGAGCGCGAGAAGGAGACGCGCAAGGCGGCCAAGAAGCAGACGATGCGCGGCTAGTCTGTCTGCTCGAGCTATCGGAGCCGGCCAGGGTGTCTACTCGGACACTGGCCATGGGGTGTGGGGAGGAGTTTTCCGCTTTGCGTACTCCTGATGTACAGATAGAGACTGTGAGGGGAGATGTATTTGATCTACTTTTACCGTTTCCTTGTCGAGCTGACGTCTGCTGCAATTGGTATCCTGCCGAGAGTCTGCTGTTGCGTGTCAAGGTCTTGTCATCGTGTGGTTCCATGTTTGCCGCACGCTCTCTGGTCGCTGCTCGCTGCTCTCGTGCTCTTTGCTCTCTCTCTCATGCTGCCGTGCCGGCCGAGTCCCCCTCCTTCAACAGTGCCTCAACCCTCTTCACCTTGTCCTCAAACGGCTGCTTCTTGTCGGTCCTGCCGCCCCATCAGCCCGGAATCTGCACCGTCACGATACCAATGAATGCAGATAAGAGTGGGGGGGGAGAAGGAAACCAAAGAAAAGAAAAGCACATGGAAAGACGCACCTCGTGCCAACGCGCATGCTCGACTGCACGCGCACGACGCCGCCGGCGTGGACGAGGGCATGGGCCTGGCCGACGACGCGGAAGACGTCGTCCCAGCTGCCCTCGACGGTGGTGCCGGCCGAGTGCATCTGGTAGTGCAGGCCGCTGGCCTTGAGGAGCTTCTGCACCTCGGCGACCTCTTTGGCGACCGAGACGGAGCCGGTGCCGACCTGGCGGGATGGGTTAGGTGACAGGACAAGGCAGTGGGCAGCAGGCAAGGGGGCAGCGGGCAACGGGTAGTGGACGGCACGGAAAGGACGCACGGGGATGAGGCAAAAGTCGGCGTAGCAGGCTTCGGGGGTGGGGAGGTTTGCGTAGTCGGTCGGCATGTTGGACACGGAATTATGAGGTCGCAGGAGATGGCGGGGGGCACGCGATTGTGTTGTTCAGGATGCTCAGGATGCGAAAGTGAAGGCGTGGTTCATTCGAAGTGAAGGCGTGGTTCATTCGAAGTGGAGGCGTGGTTCATTCGACGTCGAGACGGTTGACGTGGGGTCACCGTTCGCCCCTCCGACGTGTGGCCCCACTGTTTCGACTACATTGCTGCCGGCAAGACAACGGTTTCTGAAAGGAAGGAGCTGCTTGGGAGGAGCTGCTTGGGAGGAGCTGCTTGGGAGGAGCTGCAATCAAGAAGTTGCTTCCTGAATCGTTTCCATGGCTGTTCCCCTGCTGGTTCCTGCGTCTGTCCAAACCCAACACGCCGAGTGCAACAATCGCGAAGAGGCAGGCCGCAGGTACACAACACATCCACGATGGAGAGAGACGGTGCGCCGGATCGCCGAGCAACGGACTCGTGACACCATGGCCGCGTTTCGGGAAACAAATCGCCCACATCGAACACCCCTTGACATGTGTCTCTGCCCTGCTCCCTGAGGTCTCTCGCCGTCGCCCGCGCAGAGAACAACGGCAACGCACGAATGGCCTTGAACGTCTTGGGCCTCTAAGCTTCACGACCTCGGATCCCAGTTCGGGTTCATCTACCGCCCTAGCTGTCTCTTTGAACCATTGGTTGTTCTTCTCGAGCAGGTACCTTGAATTGGCGGCGAGGTTGGCGCGGCTACGGCCGTAACACTGGGGCTTATGCAGGCCTTTCGTCTTGAGGCTAACTGGTGGCAATGACATGACCTCGAGCAGGCCAAAGCCCCATGTCATGAACTGGACTCAGTCCTCGTCGTCATCTCGGCTTCGGCAGAGCACGGGTTGAGATAGAATTTAGCCAACGTACTGAAAATCCTTATCTAGAGGCTGCATCACTCTCAGCTGAGCAGCTGAGCAGCTGAGCAGCACCGTAGAATCTGGGCGATTGTGATAGGTTGTTGTGGTAAGTGACTAGATAGGGCTTCCTGGTCCCTGTCGCGTCATCGAGCCTTGTGTCTTCCAGCTTGGTTGCTAACTGGTGTTGATGATTTATATGCAAGATATGTGTGTGGGATGTTAGGGGTTATGGAGCAAGAGTCTGGCTTGGCACAGGTATAGATGCCATCCTCTTCTATGGCACGTAAGCCATCAGTATCCCCTCAACAGAGCGCTTTCCCAAAAAGGCCGCTATAGCTCAGTAGCCGCAGGCTATCGAAGACGGAGAAAGTCTTGCCTCCCCTGACGGCCTCCAAGTCACGCCAGTCACCACTACGTGATGCCCCCACGATACCCGACTTCAGATCTACGATGAACATCTCGCACTTGACGATTGGTTTCTCTAAGCAAGGTTAGCTCCAGGATTTCTGAGTCTACTCCTCGCGTGCTCGAGGGGACTTGCCCAATCATCTCCTCAGAGACGGACGGACATCCACTACACAAGACAGTTAGTTTCAAGACATAGCTTGAAAATGTGACCGCGCGCCTGCAGAGATACTTTCATTTCAGAATGTTTGACCCGGACCAGTCTCGCCTATCCGGCTTGCCCTTGGAGGTATAAGCTCACCTGACCATTTGTCCTTGTCGCTTGTCGAAAGCAACGCGCCGCAGCATGTCTCGCGCAAATACCCGCCTTCCGGCCGACACCAGAGAAGCAACATGGAGCTGGTGGCGCGCCAGCGTGCAGACTGTCCCGGAGAGCCAGGGTGTAGCGTAGCAGATGTCGCGTGTCCGTCTGGCGATCATACGATACTGACAGTCAGCGCGCCTTGTTCTAGATCTTATTACACAGAATGAAGCAAGGTTCCCCTGCAGGAGGACGCCATGAACCACCCGCCAGACTTCGCGTCAGAACTCTGTGCTCCCCATCTAGAAAGAGAAGCGAAGAAGCGGTCTAGTCACATGTAATGAGTCCACGCTTGCGTCACGTCGCGGTCTGCCGCAAACGCCTAGATGCCACCAGCTGCACCGGATAAGCGTCGCGGAGACGCAAACCATTTCCATCCACCGTCGTCGTCAGACATCCGTAGTCTGATTGGGAGGCAGGACCAAAAGTGACGAGGAGATAGTGGCGAAGAAACAGAAACATGTGACAGCAATACAGCAATGCAGCTTTTGATTAACAGGCTATCTCGTAACACTTACAACCCCGCGGCCCCGGGCCCGGGCACCTTGATGCCAGGGGCGCGCCCGAGGTCCAGCGACGCGCGGAACGCGCTCGCGCGGCGCCAGTGGGCGCGGTCGATGCGCTCCTGCTCCTTCATCATCTTCTACTCCATGAACGAGCGGGGGCCCATCCGCCTGCGCGTCGTCTCGGCCTCGCACGTCTCGTACAGCGCCCAGTCGTCCAGCTGAGACGGCCGCGGCACGGCGAGCACCTCAGCCATGGGCGTCTGGCCCGGCAGCCTCTCGAGCGTGAGCTCGAGGCGGTGCTTCTCTGATACTGTGTCGCGCTTGGTGCTGTAGGCGCGGATGACGAAGCTGGTTTGCCAAAGGGGTCATTGTCAGTCACGGGAGATTCCACGTTGATGGGAGAGAATTCGAGAGGGGGCAAACGAGAGGAGGTGACTCACACGCCGTCGTAGCGCAGGCCGGCGGCCGGCGCATACAGGCTCTTCAACCGGTAGCCCCTCAGCAGGCGAATTTGCGTGCCGACCTGCGACATGAGGGAGAAGTGCATGTCGGAAAGTTTCCCCTCCCGGCAGTACCTGTACATGTTGCCGCCGAGATGCTCCTCGGTGCCCGTCAACAGGGGCAGGGCCGCAACGCCGTAGCGGTCTTTGGTCGGCCTCTCGTGCGCGTTACCGACGATGCCGTCGCGGTGGGCGCAAGCCAGGTTGAGCCACCAGCTGGGAGGAGGAGAAATCGTCAGTACAGGACGTTCGATACCGCGCCACACACTAGGTCACCTTACTGTCCAGGTTCAAAGTCTACCACGGCCGAGTCGGAGCACGAGGCGCGGGCAATGTATCTCTCGAATTGGTCCTTCTGCTGCACGGCGTGGTCGACGTCTTTGAGGCGTCCGCGCTGCAGCCATCTGAGGCGGGCGTCGTCCATGGAAAAGTAGTCATCGCGAAACCTCGTCTCCCAGGCCTTCTTGAGCCGCTGTGCCGTTGTCACGTCGAGGCTTGACGGTGACGGCGCACCCTCGACGGCAGGGGGACTCCTCGACGTGGCGATGATGTCTGCGAGGAGCTTATCGAGACATGCGTGTCTGATGATGGCGGCGTCGACGAGAGGGATCGCTTGGTTCTCCGCCTCGAGGAAGGAATGAAGAATCTTGGATACGTGGGAGGCCCGAGCACCCAGCGTCTGGCTGTCACGGAGCGAGGCGCGAACAGAATCGCACAAGTCGAGCAGGGCGTCCTCGTCCATGGACAGTGCCTCGGCTGGGCGGTCGTCGGTGGAGGGTGTCTCGGAGCGGGAGAGGGGGCTCTTGGCATGGTGTCTGGTGCGGCGGTGGCTCGGTGGTGGTGTTGGCCTCTGAGCACGATTCCGCAGTCGCATGGAATCGAAGACGCCGATGGCCTGCACTGGTGCCATGGTTGCTGACATGATGCTTTCTGTTTAGATGACGGGCACCTGCTTGACGCGATGGCAAGATGCGCGAGCAGCGTCACTGTCTGTTTCGGCGGCGAGGGTCAATAGGTAGGGCACTCTAGGATAGGCATCAGGCGAAGACGAGGAGGCTCAGAGGCGGAGGAACTCGAAGGCGAAAGACTCGAGGGCGACTAGGATGAATTATAGCACTGTATATGAAGGCATCGTATCGCGCCGTCGCCAGCTTGGCGATGCCGAGTCTAGACCCCACGCTGAAGGGACCGCACGGCGAAGCGCCCCGAACCCAAGAGCACCCCCCATTGGGGCATCTAGGGTAGTCTTGGCCACCTAGGTACCTAGGTATGATGGTGCACTCCCGCCTCAAGTCGCCAGGGGCCACTGCCAGGTCAATCGCAAGCGGCGGCGGAAGGGGCAACGGCGTGGCTCGAAAGCTCTGCGCAGGGCAAGCAGGACGAGGCTGGGCGACGCGATGCCTACCTTACGATCGGATGCACGGCGACCCGTAAGTTCGGTCCCGGGAATGCAGGTGCTTGCCGACGTGGGCGGTGCGTGCCCAGAT